CCTTCCGACTTATCCCAAAAAGCTAGTTTTACCTGAAAAAAAAAACAGGTTTCTCAATATCCATTTATTAATTCCGTCGGGGGGGAGAGTAAACTTTCCTTTCAGCACCTCAGAATTGCCGCTTATTTTCTCTTGTGGAAAGAATCATCCAAAAAGCCATCATTTTCAGGAATTAAATTAAATATATCTTAGAGTCCTGGATCGACCAAGAAGACTTTCACTTTTAAAAACTTTCTCCTCTTCCTCCAGCGCATACTTGCCCAGCTGCCGGCTTCTTTGTGGCGCCCATTACGGACCGCCGCTGCACCGTCTTGGTAAAAGGAGGTTCTGCCGGCTAGGGAGGGGGTCTGCAGCACCCCCAAACCCTTTCCCGGATCCCCCCTACCTTCAGCTGCCCCTGCAGGGCAGCCTTGCTTCGCACCCTTTCGGATCGGAGCCCCAAAAACGGCTAGCGCGGCAGGGATCGCGCAGCTTCGCGAATCCCTACCGCTCGCAAAGCCGACAAACCGGAAAAAAATCGAGAAAAGATATCTTTTACTGAATTTGAAGTGGTAGCAACCATAGAATTCTGAATATGGGAAATTAGGCGCGCAAATCACATATACAAAGTGATGGAAATGGTCCCACCCCCAATAGTTCAAATGATTCTTCCAATTAAAAGTTGTGAATATGATCATGTGGACATCTTCAGGTGATGATGAGGCCTCTTTCCTTTGACCTTGGCATATTTTCATAAAAGTTTGCAGTTGCGCAGAGAAAAGAAAGCTAAGCGAGAAATAGAAACCTAAGCAAGAATTTATACTCCCCCCTCCTCATTTTATACAACACTAGAATGTAACACCTCCAGCTCACTTCCCAGACTTTACCCCCTCCTCCCCCCCGTTACTTATGGCAGCCAAAAGATGCAAAGCAATAGTAGAAGATCTTGAAGGCTGACAACTAGTGAGAAAGCAAGAAATCCAACCATTTTCTGCTTCCTAGCTAATCTAAATCTCCCAGCACAGCAGAACAGATGATGGTCAGAAAAAAGGAAAAATATAAATTTAGCAGGCAAGTTTGTCAGGTAAGGAGTGAGGGGGCGGGGAGGGTTCCCACAGGCCATGTGGGCGGCGTAGCCTTGTGTTTCTGCGCAGCCTGGATTAATTGCTTTGGAGGGGTGCTCTGGGGGTGAGATTTCTCTGCGGCCCACCAATCAGGCTTGCTGCATATCCAGTGATGGTGGGTGCTGCACCTGGAACAGCTTGCTTTGCCTTCGTCATTCATGTAGGCACAGTTCCCTCCATCACCGAGGACCTCCCACCTGCAATACAAGGGCAACAAGGGTTAAAAGCTTTGTCCCCCACTGGCATCTAACCATGTTATCAACTTGCTCTAGCAACATCTCTTTTCTGCTTTCCTCTCCCTCCCACCTGCAAGAGAGGTTTAATTCGCCCTTAATGGACTTAATTTGGTGCCCTAATTTGCTTCGTTATTCCAACCATCTCCAAGAGCAGTCACAAGGTGCATAAAATCTACTTCAACATTCATGGTCTTGGAAGAAAAGTCAGGCAACCACAGTGACTTGGATTGGAGAGGTAGCAATGGAGTCCCCAAATTTCATGCCAGTATAGCTTTTTGCTGAGTCAAGAACGAGCAAATCTCAACTCGCCAATAGGGAGAAGCAACGTTGAGTGGGTGATAAGAAGATAGCAGTGGATTCATATGGGCTAGTCTGGCAGTAGTCAGTATGGTATTTCCTAGCAACTTTGAGCTATGACTCACTCCTCCTTTGTGCTCAGAACTGATGGGAACTGGTCCATCTGGAGGCCATACGTTTGCTAAAACTGGTTGGTTTCAATCACGTGTGATTAGTGATGTGTCTATTCTCTTCCTGAGCCCAAATTCTGAGCTAGGACTCCAAGTTAATTTAGAAAGCAGCCATATTGGGACTATTCTTCTTGATGTACTTATTTGTTAGACTTATATTCCAGCTTTTTGTTTAGGGACTAATTTATTTTTTATTTTACATTTATTTTTTTCTTATGTCCTATTTTTGGAGATTGCCTGGACAATTCTTGGCAAAGTTTTTCAGAAGTGGTTTGCCATTGTTTCCTTCCTAGGGTTGAGGGAAAGTGACTGGCCCAAGATCCCTCAGCTGTCTTTGTGCCCAAGGCACAACTAGAATTCACAGTCCCCAGTTTTTTAGTCTGCTGCCTTAACTGGCAAGCCAAACTGGCTCTTACAAGTACCTATCTAACATATGAGGAAGGTAAGGCTCAGAGGATCTGGCCAAAAGTCAGCAAGGAATTTTCAGTGGCTCAAAGGAGATTCGAACCTGGGTCTCCTCTCTCTTAATGTGAAACGTTCACTACCAGACCATACTGGCTCCTGGGGATGAGAAAGAAGGGCCAGGCTATAATCCCCAGGCATCTTTTATGGTTGAGAAGAGACCTAACCTGGGTTTCTCAACTTAACCACTACATCACATTGGCTTGCTTCCATTCTCTAAATTCTCTAGTTTTAAGCACAAAGTTGGCGTTTATGAAAATATGCAGGACTGCCCTGGATGATGAATAAACTTCACGCCACTTCTTTTCAGCATTGGCTGGTGTAGAGTTTATTTCATTCATTTATTAAATTTATACGCTGCCCGTCTCACCACTCCTCAAGTGAAGGCATAAGAGAGAAAGGATGACTCACGTGGAAACACTTCCGTTGACCCATGTCCAGGGTTGCTCTGGCTCTCGGTGGAGGCCAATCCAGTGGGAAATGCTGCCTTTGTAACGCTGCACAAAATCCTTTGGACAGAATAAATGGTAAACATTAAATTACATTAAATCACTGTGAAATGTTTACAGACCCCCAAGCGTACATATGTTTCAACCGTTTACCTATTTCCTCAATAATCAAATCACCGATATTTAGAATCGGCCAATAATTCTATAATATTGTTTGATTATATATTATATTATATATTATATAGGAGTTCATACCAGGTTACAGAGACTGCCTGCTCCATTTTTCCCAAAACGCTTGAGAACATTAAGCCTTCAGCTCCTTAAGCCAGCTCCTGCCCCAGAATGCCAGGAAAAGGTGCAGCTATTTTAAATAGTTGCAGAAAGCTGCTATGTTGACACCCCTTACACCTCAAAGCCCCCTTTTAGAGTCAAATCAGAGTGCTAACCAGACCTAAAATCAATGATTTCAATACATCCTAGTAGAGGATGCATGAAGGCAAAACAACTGTGCTGTTTTCTCTCACTTCCTTTTCACTGAAAGGTTAAAAAGGATCCCACTCAGGAGAAAAGGGAGCTGTTCCCCTTAAAAGTGGGGCAGCTATTTCAAAAAGGAGAGGCTGGTGTGTTTACTGGACTCAGTTCCAGAACATAGAGCAAAAAGAAGCGAAAAGGCTGAAGTAGAAAAAAAAGCTGGAGAGATGAAATCTGGAAAAAAGTAACTTTATATAGTCAGTAAACAGGGCAGTCATTAAATAAGGTCTACCTGTAGTAACATAGGCTAAAGACACTGGCCATAAATAGATGCTCTTCCTTAATGAAAATCAATCCAAACTTTTTTTGAAACTTCGCTATGGTCACAGACCAGCACAAAATGAAAATCAACATATTGTATAAAATCGATTCCCTGCTAGCAGAACTGATGTATGTGGACCCTACATGAAATTGGTACCATCCACAATACAGTAGGATATTTTCACCCCTTACCTTTTCTTCGTTTTCAATAATGGCCAGCGTGGCATTGTACAGAGAGCAAAAGTGTTTACTAGCAGACCAGGTTTCTTCTTTATCTGAGAAGTAGAAACATTTCTTCTGGTACCCAATCCAGTCAGTCGGGCACGGGAGTCTCCCAGGTTCAGAGGCTGCCAATAGCAGCTTATGGTCATCTAGGTTTAAGGTTGTCTTATTTATCTGTGATACTAAGGAGGGGAAACAAAGAGATCATGATCTAACAAACATTCTCCACAGTCAATTAACCACAAATGTGCATGAGGAATACAGCTAGTCCTCAACTTATGATCGTAATGAAGACCGGAATTTCTGACGTCTTAAGTTGTGATGGTCATAAGCCGAGGCCTCACACAACTGACTTGATCTTACAACATTTTTTGCAGTGGTCATTAAGCGAATGCAGGGGCCATAAAACAAACATGGTGAGTGTAAAGTGAATCCATTTTCCCCAATGTGTGTTTTTTTGTCAGAAATTAGAAGTAAACATTTTTCCAGTAAAAATGTTGTGACCTCACAATACACAAATGCACCCCAAATGTGATCACAAGACCTCCCCGGGGGGGGGGGGGGGCAGAGGGAGGGATCATCTGTTGTAACTTCAAATCTGTAGCCCTTGAGAGCTGAATCATAATTTCGAACAGTGGTTAAGTGATCGGTCATAAGTTGAGGACTATCTGTAATAAGGAATAGCTGGAAATCTGCACTTCCAGAGCAGAGATGTTCAAGCTTTCATTGGCTAAGGAGCATACGGAGCTTTTGGAGCAGGGGATTAAAATCTGCAACAGGTAACAAGATGGTGAAAAGTTAGTGGACCATGTCTCATGTATGCATGTATGTATGTATTCAGCTTTGTTCGGGTATTTTCCCACATCATTATAGTTGTGCTTTTAAAGTTGTAGCAACATTTTGGCAGACGAACATAATACAGAAGCCTGATGATGGCAGATGAGATTCTGCCGAAACGTTGCTACAACTTTAAAAGCACAACTATAATGACGTGGGAAAATACCCGAACAAAGCTGAATACCATAAATGTAAGTCCCTGCAAAAACTTAAGCACACACACACACACACACACACACACACATATGTTTTCTGAGGTTTTCGCGGGTATTTGTATGTGGATCTTTGGTTATTCGGGTTTTCTCCCAGGTAAAATTGGAAGTATCTAGGCGACGTTTCAATGAAGTCTCATTCATCATCTTCAGGCTTCTGTCTTCGGCCTTGTGCTTCTTGGAGTAATGTGAGCTTGCAGCTGCTTCTTCCTTTTAACTGCTAGTGGGGGTGTGACTTGATTGGGTGGGGGCTTGGCTGTGTTCTGATTGGGTGGGGGGGTGTTCTCATTGGTTGGGGGTTTGGCTGTGTTCTGATTGGCTGGGGGTGTGTTCTGTTCAGGTGGGGGCTTGGTTGTGCTCAGGTTAGTCTTAGTTGCTGGGGGATTTGAGCTGGTGAGCTGTGATCCTGCTGTTTGGCTTCGTGTTCGTGCCGCATCTTCATGATGGGCTTCAGTTCGCTTCATGTATGGGTCGGAGGGGTTTGAAGTGGGTAGTGATGCAGCTGCATACATTGGACAGACCAATAGAAGAATAAGTACCCGCCTGGATGAACACAAAAATGCAGTCAAAAAGCTGGAACACACTTCCTCACTAGTCCAACACATGGAAGCCACAGGTCATAGCATCAACTTCAATGGCACCAAAACCCTAGCCACTATAGAAAACCCCAGCCACAGAATCATCAGAGAAGTCATAGAGATTGAAAAAAGACCTGAAAGCATGAATAGAAGAGATGATTCCACCAGACTGTCAATCATTTGGAAGCCTGCACTCACAAACAAAAAAATCTCCACACCACTAGCCAGGCAAACACCTGGGCACAAACAGATCCCCCCTGATACCTCCAGCTCAAACACACCCCAACCAGGCACCCAGATGAAACCTAGCTTCCTAACAAATGATAGCCATCCATTTACCCGGAGCCAAGCTGCACTAAAGGCCTCCAATAAAGGAACACAATGTTGCCAGCCAATCAAGATACAAAAAAAGCCACAAAACAGACAGAAGATATTAGAAACACCAATCAAGCAGAACACAGCAAACTCCACAGACCAAGATTCCCAACCAATCAGGATGAAGAAAAAAACCATTCTGGCACAGCAATAGGCTGCCCCAAATTTAAAACTGAAACAACTGTGGGGGCCTGACTCACAGACGGACACAATACAGAAGCCTGATGATGGCAGATGAGATTCTGCTGAAACGTTGCTACAACTTTAAAAGCACAACTACAATGACGTGGGAAAATACCCGAACAAAGCTGAATACCATATATACATACATACATACATACATACATACATACATACAACTGAATATTTTAAAAAAACCATTTAAAAACAATAAAATCAGTAGAAAACGTTTTTCAATGTGAGGAAGATCATTTTATTACAATTTACAGAATATTCAGACAAAAAGGATTTCTCTTATTCAAAGAATGAACCTAGAGCCTTAGCTTACTTCCCCTTTTATAATTAACATAACAAAGGAAAAAAAGGGAAAAATAAACCCTCCTTTTCACAATAAATCAGCCACAAAGGTTGTCTGAAGTTAGATAACCAAATGCTAGTTGACACTAAGAAACTTTTCCTTATCAGGAGATAGTATCCTGCCATCCTTCTGTAACCTTTATCTTTTCAGTTTAGGAATGTTAGAAGCTATCTAATCAATCCATTCAGTCATAGGATAAAACAAAGTTTTCCTACCGTGTTTCTCACAAAATAAGGCCGGGCCTTATTTTTTTTTTTGACCCCCGAAAAAATGGCTAGGCCGTCTTTTTGGGGGTGACTTAATTCCCCCCCTCTTGCATCCTCAGGCGGGCAGGCGGCGACGGCTTGGATGTTGACCTCAGTGTTGGTGGTGTGAGAATGTGTGTAGATAGCGGTTTGTATGTGTTTGTATGTATACTCACACCACCATCCAGCACAGACTCTGCACGTACTTTCACACCACCACCCAGCACAGATCAATTTCGTAGCTGAGACACTCATCTCCAGAACAAAATGCTTAGCCAATGAACAACACCTAAAAACCGAACTACACACTCTCACTAACATACCAACAGCCAATGGATTCCAAAGAAAGAAGATTACCCCCCTAATCCAAAAAGAAACCCCAACCAAAATCCAAGACAGAGAACAAGAGAACAGCAAAGCCCTCCTCCCATATATAAAAGGCACTACAGACAAAATCAGCAAGATCCTTCAAAAACACAACATTAAAACAGCATTCTGCACAAACAGAAAAATATCCACTATCCTAAGAAACCCTAAAGACAAAATCGAGTTAGAAAACCAAGGAGTATACGAAATCCCTTGCACCGCCTGTCCCACCACATACATTGGACAAACTAACAGAAAAATAAGTGCACACATTGAAGAACACAAGAACTCAAACAAAAAAGAAGAACCGACCTCTTCCCTGGTCCAACACCTCAAAGCCACAGGACATGAGATTGACTTTAAAAATACCAAAACTATCGCCAAAACCGAACACTTCAACAACAGAATAATCAGAGAAGCCATAGAGATAGAAAAACGCCCACACAGCATGAATAAACGAGATGATACCTCCCGCCTACCATCCATTTGGAAACCTGCCCTCATGAACAAACGAGTACCTAACATGAAGAATGACACCAGACCTACACCCACGAGGGCCACACAAGATGCTACCACCACACTTCCACGTAGAAAGCAGACTCACACCCACACAGAAGATGAGACACGACCACGGACCAGAAGCTGTACCGCAGCTGCATCACTACCCGCTTCAAACCCCTCCGACCCATACATGAAGCGAACTGAAGCCCGTCATGAAGATGCGGCACAACCACGAACACGAAGCCAAACAGCAGGATCACAGCTCACCAGCTCAAATCCCCCAGCAACTAAGACTAACCTGAGCACAACCAAGCCCCCACCTGAACAGAACACACCCCCAGCCAATCAGAACACAGCCAACCCCCCAACCAATCAGAACACAGCCAAACCCCCACCCAATCAAGTCACACCCCCACTAGCAGTTAAAAGGAAGAAGCAGCTGCAAGCTCACATTAAGAAGCACAAAGCCGAAGACACAAGCCTGAAGATGATGAATGAGACTTCATTGAAACGTCGCCTAGATACTTCCAATTTTACGCGGGAGAAAACCCGAATAACCAAAGATCCACATACAAATACCCGCGAAAACCTCAGAATATAAATAAATATATATATTTATATATTTCTCAAGGCAAGGTTAAAATACAAATACAAAAAAAAAAGATCCAAAAGAAGACAAAAGAACCATAAAACAATCAAAACATTAAAAAAGAAAAGATGCATCAACACCCCTCCAGGATATATACACATATTATCCCCCCTAGTTGAATACTGATTAATACACTAGTACGACATTAGTTCCTACCCTTTGCAAAATACGGCCCCTAAATTTTTTAACTACTAAATTTATTGCTTTGTCTTCTATATGTTATATTTCTGACAAAGTAACGAACAGAAAGAATCAATTGTAATACATGTTCTGAATTGTAGGATGTCTAGAGTCATTCGCTGTGATAGGCAGCTATAGTATTTGAACAAACAAGCAGATAAATAAACCTGGGTTTACCCAGGGACAGTCCAACCTGGCTGCTGTTATCTCCCAGAAGGAGGGTAGAAAGGAATGCAAAAAACAAACCCTCACTAAAAAAATAAAAGCATCACCTAGCTTGCAATATTAGAGTTTGGATAACTTACCTGTGAGAAATACAACAGCAGAAACAACAGCACCAACAACAAAAGCAATAACAGCAGTGACAATACGACCACGGTGCACAACGAAAAAATTTCTCTTTTTTGAGCATCTGCTGTTCTGCATATTATCTAAAGCAGAAGAAAAAAAAACCAAAATCTTAAATCAACAAGATTTCCAAAGTCAGGTTAAGAGGAGGTTGACAACGTGGGAAGAAGGTTCAACTCACATTGCTGGATGCACCCACTGAAATGAGAAGTTAGAATCAGAGTTCTCTTAACTAACCTCTTCCTTTTTTCTTGGAAATCAGCAAGAGAAAAGTTGTTTAATTTTTAGCTCCCCAAAGAACAAATCTCTTCGTTGTTGGGAAGAAATGGATCACCTCCTTTCCCTCAGAAGTG